GGAATTTTTCTGCTTAATTCCCTTCCTCTAAATGTTTGCCAGGACATTATAAGAAGCACCCTACAGTAAATCAACATAGTGGCCAAATTTAGCACACATCTTCCGAAACATCAAACTGCACTTTTATTAACCAATCCCACTCCATACTTTACAAAAAAATGGAGAACAACAATCCAACTCACTCAATGATCATTTGGAAAATACACGTAGAATCTTGGTTACTTTTTTTTAAATTCACTTTAGAAAAGTATTTTGTATTTTTGAAAGAAACAGGGTCTCTAATATAAAAACTGAAAGAACTGCGGATGCTTTATTCAGGGTTTCTAATATGATTTCTAATGTGACTTTTACCAAAAATGTAATGACAAAAGGATTCAGGTACTTCATTATCTGGGTGGATAACCACTGATACATAGAGTGTGCCTTAACCAGGGAGTCCAAAGCCAGCTGTGAAATTGGGAAATATATTTCATTTCCATTAGCTGAATGAACTGGAAATGCCAGTCATGGCTCCACAGCCAGCTCACTCATTTCAGGATACAGGGTTCCCAAGCTAGATCTCAGTGAGGAGGAGTGTTGGAGCAGCACTGGTGAGGTGGGGAGGGGGTTATGATCATGAGCTCAGTTGAGTTTGAGAAGCTTCTCCCAGCCCCACAGTCACATTTTCTGTCTTTAAAAGTAAAACCATCACCTACTGCACACAAAACTTTGAGCAAGTTTCTTTGCTGTAGCAATTCTGTGATTCCTTAAGTTGATAACACAAAAGCAAGCGTAAGCATTCAACATTATGTTTGGGTGGCATGGTGGTACAGTGGTTAGCACTGCTGCCTCACAGTGCCAGGGGTGTGAGGTCAACTCCACCCTTGGGTGACTGTGGTGTGGAGATTGCACATTCTCCCTGTGTCTATGTGAGTTTCCTCCAGGTACTTCTGTTTCCTCCCACAGTTCAAAGGTGTGCAGGTTAGATGGATTGGCCATGATGAATCGTCCATAGTGTCCAGGGTTATGTGGATTAGCCATGCGAAGTGCAGAGTTACAGGGATAGTGTAGGGGAGTGGGTCTGGGTGGGATGGTCTTCAGAGGGTCAATGTGGACTTGATGGGTTGAATGGCCTACTTCTACACTGTAGTGATTCTGCGATTATGAAAATCTGTCTGCATATATGGATGGTGCACTGGTCTGCTCAAAATAATTTCAAATTATTGGGTCTTCTCAAAATAATTTCAAATTATGAGGAGTTGACTTACAAAGTAATGGGTGGATTGGAAAAACACCAGCCAGGTTTTTACAGCTGATAGCAGATAAGAGAGCTATTTGTCTGACCCGGAGTTTGTTTATCATTACATTCAAAGGCAGTAGAAGTGTTTCATTCATTTGTTAATTATTACATTTGCTTAGTGTAATTGGTACTTAATTTTGCAGTTTCAGTTTGAAATTGTGAATTCAAGCACTATTTCCAGACATGACTTCATTACCCAGACTGCCAGCTAAGCTTACTGCTGGATTGTTGGAGTTGTAGTTCCTGAAATTCTGTAAGGATCAACGTTCTAGAGCAGCAATGACAAGAGTTTGAGGGAACATAGATAGAATTTCCAGAACGTTATCTTTTAGACATGAAACCAAGGCTATGTCTGCTTTATTCACATGTGGATGCTAAAGTATCTACTTGCACTTTCTCAGAGATAAGCAGTGAGTTCTTCTAAAATTCAGTTCGGACATGTATCACTCATCCACCACTAAAATACATAAACAAGTTACTCATCTCAATAAGATGGTACAACTTTGTTGTGTGTCTTTTTAAACATAGTAATTTGTTTAGATTTGAGAGGAGTAAAGCTGTGAAGCATTTTTGGACATCCTGAGGATGAGTAATTAGCTATATGCAACCATTGTAGGGTTACAGATCAATTTACTTTAAAATACACTTTATCATCTCTACAATTACATTTGATTCAGTCACTTGAAAACAAAATCTGCAAATTCCCTGATCATATATCTAATGATGGAATCTTCTACCACAGTTGCATGACTTTTACCTTTCTTTTGTGAGTAGTTATGCGCTCTCCTCTTACAAATGGCAGATATTTCTTTGTCTTTCACTATATAAGGGTTTACATTGATTAACTATTTCCAGTCCTTTAATTTACTTCATATTTTTGCTTGCCTCTGGTTTGTTGGCCTGACCTACAGCAGATGTCAAAGACTTCTTGTTGTCATTTTGTTTTTATCCATAACCAGGAACATGTGTTTAAGAAAAATGATCGATGCATACTTCTTTGATTTACTTATAAAGATATGCCACAGCAGCATAAATAATATTTTGAAAATGTCAATATGCCTTTTGCTCTTAGCCTTTTTATGTCTATTTGTTCATGCAAAATGGGCAATAAGACAGTATTAATCATTCTTTCTGAGGTGCCTATTGATATGTATCTGTACCTACAAGTGGAAATAGACCAATAAATTTGCTTAACTCTGTTCTACCATTCAATTAGATCACAGTTGATCTGTACCTCAAATCCATTCACCACTTTTGTTCCATGACTGTCAATACTCATAACTAAGAACATTCTGGTGAAAATTCAATTCATTCTGCAATAACTCCAATACTTACTGTGCCTCCTCCCAGTTGGAAGCAGAGATACCTGTAAAAAAGGATGAAAACAATAAGTAGAAATAGAATGGTTGCTGGGTCCTACTAACATAGACCTTAGGCTATTGAAAAAATTCTAGAAGATGGTAGAAGAGTTTCTACCACAGTTTATCAACTGTCTTTAAATATACAATAGGGTCACATGCAGATCATTGTGTATGAAGTGGCCCCAGATAAGCATGCAGTCCTCCCTCCTCTGGGGAGGCAATGACCTGGTGGTATTATCACTGGACTGGTAATCCAGAGATCCAGATAATGTTCTTGGGACCCATGTTTGTATCTCACCATGGCAGATGGTGGAATTTGAATTCAATAGGAAAAAAAATCTGGAATTAAGAGTCTAATGAAACCATTGTCAATTGTTAGGAGGGGGGAACCCATCTGGTTTACTAATGCCCTTTAGGGACGGAGAACTGCCCTCCTTACCTGGTCTAGCCTACATGTGACTCCAGGCCCACAGCAATGTGGTTGACTCTTAAGTGCCTTCTGGACAATTAGGGATGGGCAATAAATGCTGGGCTAGCCAATGATGCCCTCATCTCAAGAATGAATTTAATAAAAAAGTA